ATAATATGTAATCCAAATGAAATACATTGGAATCTGACATATAAAACACATTAAAAATTTCAAAAAAATGAGTCAGACTTTGTGACTGATATGATTATGAAAAATGGAGGAGCAGCAGGTCGAGGAGATTTAAGGATGTTGGTGTCATTGTAATGAAATAAAGGAATAATAATGATAATGTAAATTTATTTAGTTTCACAATTTTACCAAGTGCTTTTCAGGCATTATTGTTCATTTGATGCTGACAGTATTTTGGAGATTGCCAAGGCATAGTTTATATGTCTGTCTTATTTATGAGGAAACAGATTTTAAAAAGACAAGCGTTTTGCCATTGAGTATTCCAGCAGTGGAGCTGGGCTAGGATTTAGGCCTTCTGATTAAAAGATTAAATGTTACTGAAGCAAGGGATCTGGGGATATTCCATGATGAGGTTCTAGTATGCTATCCAGCTTCCATTCCAAGCTTCAATCCTGAGCACTCAGCTTTTACCTGTCCAAAATATTAGATTTACATGTAATATGTCCTTGAAATTATTTTTTTTCTAAATGCCTTTTTCTCTTATTTTGAATTATTCTAGTCAATCTGGACATACAGAGCCTTTCTGTTATAAAACTGTGATGATTTGAATATAGAGAATCACGTGCTTGAGCAGTCATGAGTGATGAGTAATTAAGAGAACCTGGAGGAGTGAATGAAACTGGTAACTAAGCCAGCTGAAGTTTGAGACTCTGTGGGTTCTCAGTGTGTTTATTATCTTGGCTCGGCAAATGGGCTGCGTATTGGAAGCCACCACTTAGATAGGAATTTGTGACTCTGTGGGCTACTCAAAAGAGATTGAGGGCTTTGAAATAGGAGGAGACAGCAAGTCCACTTCTGTCTTCTAGAAAGCAAATGAAAAGCAGATATAAAGGAGCCATAAAGATAACATCCACTACATGGTAGCTGAAAAGGAGGCCACCGAGATGTCTAGCTTTCCAGAATACTACTTGCGCAATATCTTCTCAAATACTTTGCAGGTGAATGCAGTTCAGACAGAACAAAAAGAACAGAAGAAAAATAATTAGATATAAAATTAGGACCTCCAAGAGTTTGCTAGAGGGAATAATGCCTCCTTATCTAATACAGAGAGAAATGCCTGGGACTTCACACCCTAGAATCAGACAAAGAGATTCTGTAAGAGATCGAGGGTCCTAGTAAACCTGAAAACAGTTGTTAATTTAGATCTATGTATAGACACACACGTGTATGCAAAATTGTATTTCATGACTGCACTGGTATAAAAATGAATGTATTAATATTGTATGTTAAACAGTTTCTTTGACCTAAGTTTTCAGTTTTTTCTTCTGATTTTTTGTGAACCCCTTAAAGTACTGTGGGCCTTAGGCACTGTGCCTAATGAAAACATCAGCCTGTTTATCTCTAAGCATTTCCTTGAGTGAGCACATCTAGTATACAAATCAGTTGAGAATCACTTGCTCAGCAAAAATATATTCTGTAGGACTGTCCATTTTATATAACTAACTGTCTTATTGCTGCCATAACAGAAATACCACAAGTGGATGGTTTTAACGAAGAAAAGTGTATTTCCTCACAGTCAGAGTAGGCTAAAAGTCCAAATTCAGGGTGTCAGCTCCAGGGGAAGGCTTTTTTCTCTCTGTCAGCCTTCTTCTCTTCGGTGTTCCCCTGGACTAGGAACTTCTCTGCTCAGAGACCCCAGTCCAAAGGACGCGCTCTGCTCCCGGCACTGCTTTCTTGATGGTATGAGGTCCCCCTGTCTCACTGCTTACTTCTGTCTTTTCTGTCTCAAGAGATTGCCTCAGGACACAATCCAGTCTTGTAGATCAGGTCCTGCCTTACTAACACAACTGCCACCCATCCTCCCTCATTAACATCATAGAGGCATGTTTACAACATACAGGAAAATCACACAGTACCAGGAATCATGGGCTAGCCAAACTGATACACACATTTTTTGGGGGACATAATTCAAACCATGACACTAACCCATTGTTGCTGCGTCGATTCCAACTCATAGCGACCCTATAGGACAGAGTAGAACTGCCCCATAGAGTTTCCAAGGGGCGGCTGATGGATTTGAACTGCTGACCTTTTGGTTAGTAGCCAAGTTCTTAACCACTATGCCACCAGGGCTCTTTTATATAACTAATTTTTAAAATTTTAGAGCTTCATTATGTTTACTTTGATTTCCCATTTAAATCTCTTGTTGTTTGCCTAGGGCACAGATAGACATTTCCACAGCCTGTTAATCGGAAGACATTTACACTACTGATGGGTATGTGGTACTGAGAGCAGATCCAGAAATTGGGAAATGAGGAGAATTATTATAACTTGAGGTTTTTCTGAACTTGCTATTCCTCTTATTTCGACTTGAATAAAAATAAGAAAACATACTTCAGTAGAGGAATATGATAGGCAGTGCGGTAACAGGACATTGCTGATGTTTTGCTTGTACTGTTATTGTTCATGAAAAAGGAAAATAAGTACGGAAGGAAAGACTCGTAAAGTGTTCCATCATCATTATAAGACCTTAAAGTTCTAAGATATTTTATGAAAATGATTCAGCGCTGTATACGCATTTCACTCAGGTTCATAAATTATACAAACTTGGTATGGGGTGACAGGAGGAGAAATACAAATTGAGAGAATGAGAAGGAAGAACAGTTTAAAATAACATGGACAGGAGTTTCTACTACTGGCGTTGATGGAGTAACCTACCGGACTAGTCCCCCCTCCCCCTACCTTAAACAATGATAAAACTGAATGAAATTTATGGTACAGCTATTTTCAGACATTGGATAGCAGGCAGTCTAAGACTGTGATCCTTGAGAGAAGGGAAGGTCATAAGAAGACCCCTACATTTGCCCTGGCTCTCTGCCTAGGGACAATTTTCTGACCATGTCATGGGGACTTGAAATCCAAGCAGAGACAGTGGTGCCTCTGACCTGAGAAGGCAGACGTCAGAGTTTATGGCTGCTGAGGCAGATGGAATGTGAGGAGCAGGACACCAGAAAAGAGAGAACTGCACAGAAAGAGGGGTCCAGAATAGTGAGTGTGGGTTTCTCATGAGTTCTTGGTGGAGGCATGGACTGCACATGTGCAAGGAGAGACTTTGTGAGCCTATCAGAGAGTATTTACTAAGGATCTGAGAATAGAAAATATATTAAAAGTTCTTGGAAGAAATTGGAATTCTGTCTCAGGCAGAATAGGGAGACCTCACTAACATTCCAGATAACCAGCTGAGAACCAAAAAATCTACACCTTAGGAGTAAGGACCATATGCTAGAGTCAGGCCTACCTTAGCTTCATCCTAACAAGTCTAAAACTAGACCTCAACAAAATCTACAAGGGAGACAAAGATAGAAGTTTGATCCTGTCAAACTAGAGAAGCTTTAGAAACACCTTGGGCTTTCTTCAAAATCATTCTAAGAAAACATAATATCAGGCCTAAACAAGCTCATGGTGTTAAGCCAGTAATTGTATTGCCTGAGAACAAAAGTCAATACTTTTCAGAGGAACATAGCAAATTTCAGATTCTCTACATTGTATCATTCACGGTGTCCAGTATACAATACAAAATGACCAGGTATGCAAAGAAATAGGAAAAAATGTGACTCGTAGTCAAGAAAAAATAGTCAATAGAAGCAGAACTTGAGATGGCTTAGATGCTGGATTTAGCATAGACCTTGAAGCAGCTAATACTAATATTAATATGTTAATACACACACACACATACACACACACACAATAAAGAAAACTCTGATCTTAGTGAGAAGTTAGGGAATCTTGACAGAGAAATAGAAACTATAAAAAGAGCCAAATGGAAATTCTAGAACTGGAAGGAACAATAATTGTAATTAAAAATTCACTGGTTGAGCTTAACAACATGTTGGAGATGGTACTGAAGTCAGTGAACTTGAAGGATAGCAATAAAATTTATTCAGTCTAAAGAAGTAAGAGAAAAAATATCGAATGAAAGTGAACAGAGAATCAGGGACCTAAGGGGCAACACCAAATGGCCTAACATATGTGTGACTGGAGTCACAGAAGGAGAAGAGCATGAGATGGGGCAGAAAAATATTTAGAAATAATGGTTGGAAAATTTCCATGTTTGGTCAAAAATATAAACTTAGAGATTCAAGAAACTCGGCAAACCCCAAGCAGGATATATAGAACATAATGTGTTACATCTAGGCACATTATGGTTAAATTGCTGCAATATTTGGTCATTATGCATGTGGTATGGGCACTGTCAAGGTGCTGTTAGTATTCCACCACTACTCAGGAAGGCATGATTAACTGTTCCTCATAGGGCAGGATATGGTTCAGAAAGATAGGGCTATTTTATGTGTTTAAAAGTATTGGCTCGTAAGGTCTTTCTGCTTGTCTATGTTCATTTCAAAATAAAAGAGTTTGTTTTTCTGATTGTAAAAGTAATCATGGTCATTGACGAAAATGTAGAACAGTATAGGAATAAAATAAAAATTGCCTATGAGCCCATGGCTTTTGACCCTTTCATTCTACCATGCTCTTTTTTTTGTTTATTTTTTCCAAATAACATTTATTTATTACATATACCATATTTAAAAAATATATATAACTTTCTAAAGCAAGCCTTAAACTCTGATCTCTACCTAACTTTTTTGTATTAAATTGGGACCAATGTCCTCTCTGTGAGAAAAGCTCAGGAGCTCACTATGAATTTTGCAGTCTCTCTTTCTCTATACACACACACGTACACACGCACACACGATTTTAGAGATATTACAGTTATGGATAAGAAATTATTCACAGATTTGCAGAGAATGAAAACGTGTCTTAGTTTCTTAATACTGCTATAACAAATACGACAAGTGGGTGGCTTTAATGAGCAGAAATTTATTTCTCACTGTTAGGAGTCTAACTTCAGGGCACTGGCTCCAGGGGAAGGCTCTTTGTTGGCTCTGGAGGAAGGTCCTTGTCTCTTTTCAGCTTCTGTTACTCAGTTCCTTGGAGATCTTCGTGCGGCATGGCATCTATCTTTCCCCATCTGTGCTTGCTTGCTTCTGCGCGTAATCTGTTTTTATATCTCAAAAGTGATTGGGTTTAAGACACGCTGTATGCTGATAACGGCCTCATTAACGTAAGAAAGAAAAACTCTTTTTATAAAACTCCAAATGGGATTATATCCACAGGTATAGGAGTTAGTATTCCAACATATATTTTGGGGGGAAATAATTCAATCCATAGTAACTGTTTTATAATTTCTACTTCTGTGTTATGAGTGCATAATTTCTTTTTCAGTTATTAAGACAGTTGATTAAGTGGTAGAATGACTGAACTTTGATATTATTATTCCTCCTCCTTCATGTTTAAAAGCTGTTACTCTCCTAAAATTTTCCAGACACCTATGATATTTAAAATTTTTTTCTCATTCAAGTGATACGTGGACGAAATGAAATTGAAATGATTTTGTACCTGAAGGCCACCAAAGACAGCTTCCTATTTCTTCTTTATTCAGAGATTTTTATCAGAGGAATATAAACTGGAATCTGCAGTGGTACTCCAATTCCAGAGTGGTGAGATCAATTAAGTCTTTTCTTACCGGCATTTAATGATTAATTTTTCTATATGGTTCTTAACTGAAATATTTAAAATGATGAGTCACATTAATCCTAGGGTTCTTTACTTTTAATAGCTTTCTTTTAGCAGTTTTACCATCTGGTAGCTTTGTAGTCTGGTTGTGAGATGTTCTATATTTGTATCCTCAGGGCTATGATTTATTTGAGAACAGTGACTAAGAATAATAGTGAGAAACTTCATGGAGCAGGGGCTACCTTTGTGCTGTCCACCTTTTCCTCATCCTTTTGGAGTGAGCTACCTCTAGTCCAGAAGTTGATGGCTCTTTGACCCAACTTCTAGTTGATTTGGCAGATTGAATATAGAGATGGCACCATTTTATTTTTATCCCACCTGCCAAAAAAATTGCAACTCAGTGCCATTAAATCTGGGGACTTATGTGGAGGTCATTGAAATGGATCTAAAAGCATTTACAAGTTTTAAAATAAGTGCTTATAAGAATTATCTGCATAGGCCAAATAAAAGATGTTCAGTGAATGGGGACTTAAGTTACGTCTGTATTAACATGAGAGTTAGTCAAGCCTGTAGATTTAGCTGGTAAATCTGCTGCAAAAGACCTCTTTAAAGTGTTAAAAAGCAAAGATTTCACTTGGAGAACTGAGGTGCGCCTGACCCAACCCATGATATTTTCGGTTGCCTTATGTGCATATGAAAGCTGGACAGTGAACAAGGAAGACAGAAGAAGAATTAACGCCTTTGAATTATAGTGTCAGCAAAGAATATTGCACATACTATGGACTGTCAGAAGAAAGAACAAATCTGCCTTGAAAGAAGTACAGTCAGAATGCTCCTTAGAAGTGAGGATGGTGAGACTTCATCTCATGTACTTTGGATGTGTTATCAAGAGAGACTAGTCCCTGGAGAAGGACATCACGCTTGGTAAAGTAGAGGGTTAGTGAAAAAGAGGAAGACCCTCAGCAAGATGGATTGACAGAGTGACTGCAACAATGGGCTCAAGCATAACAATGATTGTGAGGATGGCACAGTACTGGGCATTGTTTTGTTCTGTTGTACATAGGGTCACTATGAGTCGGAACCGACTCGACCGTACCTAACAGCAGCAATGTAGACTTAGTTATAAACTCTAAAACCAGTTTTGAAGTCTTGTTTACATCTTCTAGGTTCTAGTCTATTTTCATTTGCATGAAGTGCCTTCTTTCTCAGTTTTTGTTGCAAGTAATAAAAAGTAACAATAAAAAAAAAAAAAAAAAAAAAACTCTGACTCAAGGGTTTAAGTCACAAATGAAATGCATTAGGTCTTGTAACTCAAAAATCCAGTGATAGGGTTACTTCAGGAAGTAATCTAGCAGCTCAGTGCCTTCCATTTTTCTGTTCTGGCTCCTGCTGTTGCCTTCATTTTGATGCTCCCCTTTTGATTCTGATATGACTTTCAATAGCTCCTGAGGCTTATTATTTCCATATTTACCTCCATTAGGAAAAAACAATTGTCTCAGTATTCCTAACAAAATTCCTGATGTTTACTCTGATTTAACTAGTGTAAGTCATATTTCTACCTTAGAACTGACTGCTGTGTCTCTGATGATGGAAAGTCCTTATTAGTGTATCTGGGATTATGTGTTCCATTCCCAGAGACAAGGGTGAAGTCCACTTCTTTGAAACCCTTGGATCCTCAAAAGAAAGTCATAGCTTCTGGGAAGAAAAACCAAACCCCCAAACCCATTGCCATCCAGTCCTTTCCAACTCATAGCAAGCCATGTAATATAGAGTAGACTATACTCCTGAGGATTTACTTGGCTATAATCTTAATGGAAGCAAATCGCCAGGCCTTTCTTCCATAGTACGTTTGGGTGGGTTTAAACCACCAACCTTTAGGTTAGTAGTCCAGTGCAAACCACTTGCATCAACTAGGGACCTTATGGGAAAAGAAAAGGAGAGCATAAATGTGGAGGGAGGCGACTGTCATCCATTACTCATGTTACACATAAGGTCGCCATGAGTCTGAGCTGACTCAACAGTAGCTGACAACGACACACATGCCATTGTCCTTTATATCCAACTGTAAAGGATGCCTGTAAAGACCTGTATGTCTTAAATAAGACATGTACATTCCCTACTGCTTGGCAAAAAACCAAGGATCTATCTCAAATCTCAGCTTTGTTTTCTTCACACTTACCAACACTTAACCAAAATAACCAAATCTGCTGCTGTTGAGTCAGTTCTGACTCATAGCAACCCTATAGGACAGAGTAGAACTGCCCCATAGGGTTTCCAAGGAGTGACTGGTGGAATCAAACTGTCAACCTTTTGGTTAGCAGCCGAGCTCTTAACCACTGTACCAGGGCTCCACCAGCACTTAGGGAACTCTTTTTCCCCTGAACAGGAGGAAAAGCACTATTGTCCAGGCAAACAATTTTACATTTACATGCCACACAGCTTGTTATCTTTTTCTGTGTGACAGTTTCCTCTTTGGGTTGTTAAGTAATACAATTGCATCAGAAAGCGGATCATTGTAAAGTGTATTTTATTTTCCCATAAGTAAATTTTATAATTAGGTGGTTTATACCAAACAAAAACTCTGTACTACATATGTTAGAGATGAATAACAATATGTTTTAAAAAGCAAAGCATAATTTATTTAAAAAGTATTTCTTAATAATACCCAAATATCAAAGACATGGTACTAGTCGCAACTATAAAGTTCAATAATTTGAAATGAAATTTTCTTCACGTTTTATAAAAGGAAGAAAACACATACATTTTATTAGCGAACCAAGAGGGTTCGTTCAGTGTATTGAAAATTGTACATATGGTACATTAAATACGTAATTTTAAGGTATCAGAAATTTATCATGAAACTGATATGCTAGCTAGGATAACATTAATCCAATGTTTGAATCACAGTGATTTCACTTATTATCATTAATTCTAATGAATTAATATAGGTGAAGGACTTGGAATGCTGAGAATTTTAATCTGCTTTTCTGTACAGTAATAAGCACTAGATAAAATGTTTGCTTTAACATCTGCATACCCCTTCTGTCATGTATTTTCATAGAATAGACGAGAAAATGTTAAGAGTGGTTTTCTCTGTGGAGGTGGCTGTCTGGTTATTTAAATTTTCTTCTTTTTGTTTTTCTGTATTAAAGTTTGTTTTAAATTTTAGCTAAAAGGAGGATTTTCAGTGCTTTAGGAAAAAAGCTGATGAGAACGTGGTCTTCCATAATGCTGTCCAAGCAGTTGTGCTCAATCAATAGGTGTTTCTCCCCCATTGATGTTACTGGCTTCCTCCAGTTCTGTGGTTTTGACTTACTTACTCCTCAAGACTTTGGAAGCTTTGAGATCAGAACACATTGTAAACACTTAACATGATGATGTGTGTAGAACTTCAATGGTTCATTCATATCTTATTTTGCTGTTTATTGTGGCTCTATTTGTTTATTCTTGGTCTGTGTTCTGGCTGTCACTGAGGGTGGCTAGTCTACGGGGGACAGCTAGTCCAGACCTATGAGATAGTCTATTGATTTTTCATTGCTGGCTTGCTTTTTGTGGCACATAGTAGGAATATTTACGTCTGAGGTTTCCACAAGTTTCATTACTCCTTAGGACAGATTCTGCTGTAGCCACAGAATTTCGCAGAAGAGAACGATCTTATTTGTTGATTTCAGGTTTGACTCAAGGATGTCTTTGGCTGTGGGGATCAGAATCTAAGGGATTTAAATGGACAAAATGGTTCCTGACCTCTTGGGTCATCTGAAGAGAAGAACCAGGAATGAGAGGAGGTGAGGAAGTAAACGAAGGTGAAGGGCTGATGGAGACAGGCGATGAGGGAAAAATGCGGTGGGGAGATGGACAGTTGCTGACTCTGCCCGGGCAGAGCCATCCTCCTTCAGTTTGCTCCTCCTTCTTCATCTACACGGCATACAGTGACGGAGCTGAAAGACTCAGAAACCGGCATTTCGTTTTGGGGGAGATAAAAGCCAGTTTCCTGCTCACTTAATGGTTAAAGTGGCCTCAGGCAAGTCTCTTACCCTCCTTGCTTGAGTTTCTTCATCTACAAAATGGAGTTACTAATACAAATATTTAACTACTTCTTCACAATACTGTTGTGAGGGTCAAATAAGAAAATATACGTGAAAATACTTTGTAAATGCTACACACACACAAAACCAGATGTCATCGAACTCTGACTCCTGGCAACCCCGTGTGTCAGGGTAGAACTGTGCTCCGTAGGGTTTTCAATGGCTGATTTTTCGGAAGTAGATCGCCAGGCCTTTCTTCCAGGGCACCTCTGGCTGGACTCGAGCCACCACCCTTTCAGGTAGCTGCTGAGTGCATTAACCGTTTGTACCACCCAAGGAGTGTGTGAAAGTGCTGTCTAAGTATTTGATAATGATATTGCTGATGACAGTCGGCCTTCAAAGCTGCCTTAGCTTTCTTACTGTGCCCTGAGCATCTGCTCTCAGGTTTCTGCTGTCTCCTTAGTGGGCGCTACGCTTGGTAGACTGTGGAATGCCCTGTTGGTGCTACATTCATGCTAGAGCCTTTTCCTGGCCTGAGTTCCTCTCCCCAGTGGTGAAGACTGATGTTTGCTGTAGTTCATTGTCAAAAGCTTGGAAGAGGCAACACGAAGGCCAAGAGCGCCCATCCACTGCTGGCTGAGCGAAGCGTGGATGGGTGCTGGGAGGCAGCTCACCGGAACAGTGGGACTGTGGAGCCTCGGGTGGTATGCCTTGTCTCCCTAGTCCCCTCATTGCTTTCATGCGCCACGATGACACATGCGCTCGTAATTCTGAGCGTGAAGAAGTGTGTGTGTGGTATGACGAGAAGGGAAAGGTAGTTTTACCAGTGCAAAGGTAGTGGGTAAAATTTCACTCATGTTATTAAAGGTGTAGAAAATCTAATCACCTACTTAGTCCTCAAAACAGCCTAAAAGAGTCAGTCACACTGATTTGATACTTTATTAGCCTATTGATTTAGG